CGATGTGCAGAGCCAAGCTTTTGCAGAATAAAAAACAAGAATTAGGATTTGAAGAAGATCCATGGAGATCAGAAAGAATGGTTTACTTGTTTGGTGAAGATTATGTGATGAGTGCATAGATGATTGAATGCACTTGTCTAGACCAGGAAATTGTGCTTTATAAGTTATAATTAAGAGCATGTTAGTCATATATGACAAAATGATCAAATGTTGATTTATTCTTCTTCCTTATAGTATTATCTAATCCACGTTAAAACATACCATAATAGATTTTAGCGCTTGTTTGATTCGGATTAAAATCTGATTTTAATCCAAGTCAAAATCAAATAATCAATATTAATCACATCTTTCATGAGTCCACAACTTTTCAACCACATGTTTCAAAAACTCCTATTACAATATACTAAAAATCTAATTTTAATTCACACCAAACACCCTCTTAAAAGGGATATCGGATATTATTTAAGATTTATGAATAACTATGAAAGAAGCAAATCTCTACTAATTATGAAACCAGTTATTAATTAAAAAAAATGTCATAGAGATCAAAGAAATCTTGATATACGTTTAATGCATTTACGATGTGTTTAGATTGACTGGTGCTGGACAATACTGCTTAATGTTCATTAAGAAATAAATGTCACATTGATTAATATCGAAATATAGATTAATATAATATGCCCCTATTTGATATGGGTTAACATCGGATTTTTAGATTACTTTACTTAGTTAATATTTTAAGATAAAACATCAAGTCTTAATACAAGTCATCGTCTCTTACGAAATGTTAATTTTTAAAGAATAATTTCACTTTGATTAAATAGCAAAATATAAGCAATATATAAAGCATTGGACTAATCTCCCTATAAAATTCACCTAATCTAAGTCTTAACAGTTCTTGCTGTTGACTAATATTAACTATTGTGCATTTGTACGACTAACTACTGAAATTCAAGAGGAGCGAAAGTTAGGTATCTTTATTTGTCGTGCTTTCTTCTAGACTTCAGTATTTATTATGAATAATGCTACTTGTACATCACCCCTTACACAAGGGGTGACATAATGTCCAAGTGGCAC